ATCCACCCAGTTCCCTCACCTGAACCTGCGTTGCTCATAGCTCATAAAAGTAATGCTGGAAGTTGTACCTGTTGAATATTGCCCTGTAGATTGCAGGCCATTTCTCCATCAAGTGCCGAATCCTACCATCTTTGCTGTCCTCAATAGCCTGGAGTAATTAGCAGGTTTAATAAAGCAGTCATGGGTGTTAATCATCCAGGCTGTTAACTGAAGTAATTAAAAAGATCTGGCATCAGAACGGACCCCTGCAAAAATCTTCTGAATATGTCCTTCCATTTTGACAAACACTGATAATTAGCACTTGAGGTGCAGTGATCTCACCAGTTTTACACCCACCATGCCCTTATATCTTCTTAAGAAGGCGCCAGGACAGCCAACATTAAAAACTTTCCTAAAGTCAACATATGTGACATCTGTTACACATGACTTTATTCCTAAAACATTGTGCCACACCAGGACATGAGAGTGGTTTGTCAGCATTTTTCCTGATGTGCTATTCTCTCTGCAACCAGGATATCATCCACCCCTTATTCTGTACTATTTACATACACACATGTATTCATATAATTCTACATGAGCACAGGTATTATTTCAGTGGTCACTGGCCATCCCCACCAAGATGTCTGTTGAGTTCAGTTAGTCCATCTGGTGTATCTGGAGCAGTCTGTACTCACTGTCCATGGTAGCTATGGCATACAGTAGCATGGTCATTCAACAACCAATAGTACATAAGAAATTCAACATTACTGACTGTTCTCTATAAAAAAATCAAATCCCGTTGAGGTCCGTATCATGTTTCCCTGTCCCTCTGCAATACTCACCTGGTGCACTCAGGTCCTTGAACAAAAACAGTCCCAGGGATGGGTTTGTCTTTTCTTCAGAAATGTATCTTCTGAAGTTGGTCAATCAGGGAACACAGGGCTGTTCCCATTCTCAGGAAGGTGGGCTCCATCCTTCCCTGTTCCTGGCACCTGACCCACCAGTTAATGCAACTAAACCCAGAGCCCTTTTGGCAATATCAGCTGTGCAATCATGCATTTATCTCCAGATGTCCCTACTGGAATTGCAGTCAGGGTTCCACAGCCAGAAACATACCAAAGGCCCCGAGCCCTTCACCTGCCCACCTAGAGCTTTTTAATCACCTTTGATCTGATCTAAACAAATATATGACCATTCATGACACAAGGATGAGGGCCATTATGAAATGGGTGATTATGGCTGTGTTGTAGTGACATCTCTGGTACAGATCCTTGGGAAATGTCCTGGCTCTCAATGTCACAGCTTGGCTGCAGGGCCCCTCCCTGCTGCCTCTGTTCTTTACACGTGGAGTTGCCACAGTGAAGATAAGCTCGGACTGCTATGGGGTGAGAAGCACATCCAGAGTGTCATAAGGAGGGAAGATGTTTTGCCTGATATCGAGAAACAAGTAGCTCAAGTTCTACTAAAGGTTACTAAAGGTTCTTGGCCTCCCTCTCATGGGAGAAATCAGTATTGCCTTCTGCTGACAGTCTCCTGGGTCCCTGCAGCGGGTGGTTGGAGGAAGCTCTCAGGATAGTTGGTAAAGCTTTAAAGTGAACAGCCTCGACCTTTTCTTTGCAATAAGCACACCCAACACTGAAAGACCTTTTTATATCTATGGCAAGTTATAGCCTGATTGCTTTTGAATTCCATTCAGTTCAGTTGGCCAGAGCATGCTAACATGAAGGTTGTGGTTTTCATCCCCATATGGGCCATCCACTCACGAGCTGGGCTCTATGATCCTCATAGGTCCCTTCCAGCTCAAGATATTCTGTGATTCTTTGAATTAGAGCAGTAAAGAATGCCACAGTTGGTAAAACAATCCCTCCTTCCAGCCCTATCCGCAGGAGAGACAGAGGGGCCTTTTGCCTTCCCTTGCTCTTGTGTCACTGACCTTTGGTCACTCACAGGATTGCCAAACCTTCCATGCCTCCCAAGTGCCCATCAGAACCTGCTTTCTGCCTGCCCAGCCATCCCTTCCCCTCAGCAGAGTCCTGTCCCACACCATGCAGGGCCCTGGATGCGTCTGTCCAGCTCTTTCTCTGCTTCCTTCCCAGTCTCTATCAGTTTCTCCCATCTGGTCTCTCCCCTCCTGACCATGCAGCCCGTGAGATGTCAAGGAGCAGCCCAGCCATAACAGAAACTAGGTGGGCTGTGCAAATTTGCACAATAACTTGTGATCAGACAAATTAAAGAGCCAAAGACTTAATCACAGAATAATTTGCATTTTGAAGATCAGCTACTATGGTTGGAGAAAATGGGCAGTGACTCATAATTTTATTTCCCACACAAAGAAGAACTGGTGTGCCTGAAAAGCTTGGCTGCTTTTATTTTCCCATGATATTATCCTAATAATTATTATGCTAATTAAAGACATGCTGTCTCTTACATTCTTACACTTTTTATCACCATTGTCACTTTTTAATCCTTGACATTTCCATTTTCTAGCCCAAAATTAATCCCTTTCTGTTAGAAAATACATTCAAGAGTCTATCTTTGACCTGGAAACAAGGTATGAAGGTGATTCATTACTAGACCTCTGCTTCTTTTGAGATGAGGGGTAGAGACTCTCACAAAGACAACTCTTACTTCTCTGTGGCTTTGTTTGCAGTAATTTCACCTCTTGTAACCTGATCAAGGAAAGATTCAGTTAAAAATAAGATGAGAATTAATCCTCTTCACAAATGTGGACACATTTACATGTTCTCCATGTAACAAATGAGTGAGATCTGATTCTGTTGGGTGCTGAGGGAACTGTGTGATGCTGATACTGAAATCAGTGGGAGACATGATCTCATAGAGGCTCGTTTTTGGTAAAGATCACATTTCTAAAGGACTCACTTTCATTTCATCACTTATCATTTTTCATCATAAATGAGCGAGAATGATGGCACAGTGGTAATTCTTCTGAGCAATATCCTTTTTGGTTCCCCAGACTACACAAAATGACTCTCTTAAACACAAAACTAATTCTGAACCATTACAAAAATCACAGGATGGTTTTAGTTGGAAGTGGCCTTAAAACTCATCTCATTTAGACCCCTGCCATGGGCAGGGACATCTTCCATTATTCCAGATTCTCCAAGCCCCGTCCAACCTGGCCTTGGGCACTTCAGGGATCCAGGGGCAGCCACAGCTTCTCTGGGAACCTGTGCCAGGGCCTCACCAGCATCGGCCTGCTGAGCGTCCCGTCTCGGGCGATCGGTGCCGGGATCGGGATCGGGATCGGGATCGGGATCGGGATCGGGATCGGGACCGGGACCGGGACCGGGATCGGGGTCCTTGCCTCGGTCGGTGCCGGGTCCCGCCCGCGTCCCGCCTCTCTGTCCCGCCCCCGGGCCGCCCGGCCATGGCGGCGCGGCTGTGGCGGCTCTGCAATCTCCTCATGGCCGCCTTCTTCGGGCTGGCGGCCGCCGTGCAGGTGAGGCCGGGGTTCCCCTCCCGTCCCCTCCGCTCCCGTCCCGCGGAGCGCGGCCCTGGCCGGGCCGGCGGCTGCGGGGTCTCAGTGCGCGCCTCCCGCTGCAGGTGAACGACCCCGACGCGGGGCTGTGGACGGTGAGTACGGGCCGCCCTTCCCTTCCCCTTGAGCACCTCCTGCCCCGGAGGTCCCGGCGGCCCCAGCCCCGCTCACGCCCGTCCGATCCGGGGCCGCCGGAGGAAACGTCCGGGCTTCCAGCTGAAGAGCGGGCGGACCCCGGGAAAACGATGTCTCTACTGGAGCGACGGCTGAAATCCCACCGTGCTTCCATGATCTGCCTTATTTCACCCCAGTTCTGCCCCTGCAGAGCACCCCGAACTGCTCCCGCTCCTCCTGCCCGACGCTCCGCTGTGCCCATGGCCTGTGCTTGCCCTGAGTCTCCAGCGGGAGCCGCCTGCTGCCGCTCCCTTCGGCTGGGCCTCCAGGGGAGATGGGGAGCGAGCCCCGCTGCTGTGCCCGGCCCTGGGGACAGGCTGTGTGCGACAGGAGCTGCTGGCCGGGCACGGCTGCCCCTGCGTGCCCTGGAGTGTGCGAGCCCCTCTGACAGCGGCACCAAAGCGGGATGGAGGGTTTGGGGAGCCCAACCCTGTCCCGTCAGGATTCAGGGAAGGGGCTCTGCAGTGGTTGCTCAGGCAGCCAGTATTCTGTACCCCAGGAGCTGAGGAATAAGGGCTGGCTGTGAGCTGATGGCCGGGATTTTGGGTGGTGATGGTGAAGATGAGCACTAGCAGGCCCAGGGCATGCTGGATGGTGAGAGACTGGGATCTGCTCTGTGCCTCTGACAAACTGCTGCTGCTGCTGCTGGGCACTTCTGCTTCCTGGCCTTGCTAAGTTTTGCTACCGAGTAGATTTATATGTCATTAACAGGTTGTCTACTCAGTGCCAGCTGCCCTGACACTGCTTGTCAGCATCAACCCTTCAATAACAGGTATGATACTGGTGTGCAAAACCAGTCTCTGGTTTTTGAGTCTCTGCTCAAATTTTGCCCTCAAAAGGTTGTTGTTTGGCTTTTTTTTTTTTTTTAACTGAACCACAGATTAAAATCAGGCTGTGTGGAAACACATCCTGCTACCTTCTGAGGGCAAAAAGCTGCAGGACTTATTTCTCCAGAAGCTGGTCATTGCTTTGGTGCTGGTGGCTGGGCATGGTGCAGGTGAGGAGAGGAGCCCAGCAGAAAGCCCAGCTGCTGGGATGGGCCTGCCTTTGCACCCCAGTTCCAGCTTAAAGCAAAACTGGAGCAGCAGCCTGAGAGCATACTCTGAAGCTGGCTCTGTGTTGACCTTAGCACTTTAATTCACTTTGTTTCGTTGTAAATCTATGCTTTTGTTTATCTACCTCATGCAAGAGCAGCTGAACTTTGCACAGTCCTGTGAAAGTGCTAAAGGTCTTGTTCAGTGCCAGGTATTGCAGCTGCCCCACAGAGCAATGGGCAGCAATGGGAACATTCTAAGGCTGTGTTTCCAAGGGTGGGGGCTAATGGCAGTTCAGAGGATCATTCAGATCAAAATTGTTTCAAGACTTCAGAACGTAGTTAAGATTTTTGTATTTTAATTTAGAGGAAATAATTTTAATTAAGGCCATTTTATATACACAAAGTGACTGTATCTGTTCTGGATGAATACTTACGCCAAATAAACTAAAATCACACTTAAAAAAGAGAACCTTCAGGAGTGCACAGTATTGTCACAAATTATACCATTGCAGTCTTTTGGCATTTTGGCTACCTTAAGCTTATAAAGTGGCACCATTCCTAAGTTCAGAACTCATGAGGGTTGGTTGCTTGTGATATTGAATATTTCAGGAGAGGTCTACTGTGTAATAGGTGGCATAATGGCATTTGGCTGGTCAAGAGAATCTTCATGTTAAACTCATAGTTAGGGTTTTCCTTGTGCCAAGATCTGTGGAAAATAAAGATTATAATAGCACAACTTTTGTAAAACTGTAGGTTTATGTAAATTCACCAAGAGGTATTTGCCATTCAGTTCTCTAGAAGACCCAGATGGGTTTACTTCATGCTACATGATAGTGGCTAACAGTCTATTTTTTTCCCCAGACAATGGTGTTTGGAGGAGCCTCTGTGACCTTCATTCTGCTGGCTGTGTTGTTGGGACCATTGCCTTGGCTTGCTCTTTGTTTGCTTATGCTCAAGGAAACCTTTTTCATGAAGAGGAAGGCAGGTAAGCAGTGGGTTTTATTTGCCCCGCCCAAATCCAGCTCACCAGGCCATCTCCTCCTGGTGTCTCCTTCCAAAACTTTATTTCCTGGGCTGCTGAAGTGAGTGCTGTTGGTCCAGAGGAATTAGACCAAAGAGAAGGGACCATAATGCTCCAGACCAGTGACTCTTTGGACACAGGGAAGTGAACAGTCATTGCTTTCCTGATTGTGGCAGGCAGTTAGATTTACTTGTCTGGCTTTCACTGGGCACAAGCACAGTGAAACAGTTTTGTGTTCTTTTCCTGGACCTGTAGGAGTGATAATCAATGTTTTAAAAACCCTCGAGGCAATACCAAATGCATGTTTATCTGGCATGGGTTTTTGAGTCTTTCAAGGGGTTGAGGATGAGGGAGAATTTCTCACCTGGACATTCAGGAGTTGCCTAAATTGTAGGTGTTTGCTGAGTACTGAAGTGAAGCCCTGGCAGCTGCTTCTGTCCCTAATCACAGTCTGGAAAACTGGGATGTTGTTTTGCTCTGTTTCAATGAGAGAAATGTGTCTACTTTGCCTATGTTGATTAGAGAAATGTGCTATGGAATATAAGTCCAGCAGTAGAACAAAACATGGAGGCAGGAATTTGAATTTCTGCAGCTGTTTAGCTGTCATGTCGATTTGTAGATTTGTGGTGTGAAGCAAAGTTACTCTTTGTAAATACCTTTATAATTATAATCCTACCAAAATATATTGAACTTCTCCAAATGAGCAGCCACTACTGTTTTGGAGGCAAAATTTGTATTGTCGAAATGCAGACATCTGTTTGTATTATTTTCTGATCTGTTTTTTGTTTGGCTTTTTAGAGAGTTGTTTGGTCTGGTGATTATTACAATATGGATGAGTCTTTGTCGCAGTTCAGCAAAGTAAGTTTTATTTTCTCTTTTAGAATAATCCATTCCAATGTTCACATTTACTGACTAGTTCCTTGAAAACACACAGTCGATTTTGGCAGCTTGTTTTCCTGTTTCATGGCACCCTCTGAACCTTCCAGGTGCCAAGCAGTAGCAGCTGGTGCTACAGCCTGGAGGATCTTGCACAGATAAAAGTTGGGGCAGGGTAGAATATAAGTCTACAGAAAGCATTTTTTCTGGCCCTCTGCCATAATGGGGGCATTTTCCCTTTGCTTAAGATGCTTTTTAAAAATTCCCACTAGTTTCTGTAGCCTGAGCTGTCAGGAAATTCTTTATGCCTCTCCAGTAAAAGACTCTGATGATGAATCCATAGGAGCCCCGTTAAAGTGGCCAAAGGCTCTCTGCTGTCTTTCCAGCTGCAGGCAGATGTTAATGTTATGTGGTAACTGTAGTAGTGGCCAGGAAGGCCAAGGACATCCTGGCCTGTCCCAGCCATGGTGTGGTCAGCAGGATGAGGACAGTGCCTGTCACTTGTGCTGTCACTGCTGAGGCACTTGCAGTCCTGGGGTCAGGTTTGGGTACCTCACTTCAAAAAGGACCTTGAGGGACTGGACTGTGTCCAGGGAGGGGAACAGAGTTGGGGAAGGGTCTGGAGCACCAGGAGTCACCAAGGGAGCTGGAGTGGCTCAGTCTGGAGAAACGGAGGCTCAGGGGAGACCTTTTCACACTCTACAACTCCCTGACAGGAGGGTACAGCCAGCTGAGGGGCAGGCTCTGCTCCCAGACAACAAGGGACAGGACCAGAGGAAACAGCCTCAAGCTGTGCCAGGGGAGGTTGAGATTAGATCCTAGGGAAAATTCATTCACTGAAAGAGTGGTCAAGCATTGGCATGGGCTTCCCAGAGAGGTGGTGGAGTCACCATTCCTGGAAGTGTTCAAAATAAACGACTGGATGTGGCACTGCACCAGAGGGCTTAGTGGGCATGGTGGTATGCAGTCCAAGGTTGGACTTGATGATCATGGAGGTCTTTCTCAACCTTAAAGATTCAGTGATTTGAAGTAGCTCTGTTGGATTTGTTCTGTTACAGGAGTCCCCTGGGAGGAGTTCGCTTGGTTGCTGCAGTTGTCGTTGCCCTCTTCCCCTTTGTTTCGTGGCTGTACATTTATGTGAACAAAGACATGCGAGAGTCTTGGCCAACACACTGCAAAACAGTGATGTAATTGGGTGGGAGAAAGTCTACAGTAACTATGCTGACCTTACTTGCCTTTGTTTTTGGTGCTTAACAAAAGGTGTCAGTTTGATGGGACCCAAGAATACCTGGCTGCTTCCAGCAGTGCCAGCTGAGATTTGGTAAAATGTTGAGGAAGACACAAATGTGAGTAGGGAATTTTTCAATGGAAACTGTTCACCTTGCTGTTTCTTATATTTTCCAAGCACCATTGATCTAATGTCTGTTCTGATGGTATATTCAAGATATCATTGCATCCCTGGCTCACTCTCCAATCACCTCATAGTTTGGGAAATCTACTATTCTGTAGCATAAGGGACAAGTAAAGCAAATACTATTTTAATAAATTACTATTTACAGCCATAGAACTTTCAAAGGTGTGCCTGGATAATCCATTTCAAACTTATGGGAAAACTGAGCAGTCTATATTTCTGTCCTGTGCTAAAATCGTATGTAGAATATATCTGAAAAAAATATTTTTGCTGTTATCTGTAACTGAAAGTCACTGGTTTTACTGAGTAATAAACACTATTTTTTTAAAGAAAACTCAATGGAAGTCTCAATATCTTTTATTTTCTGGGAGATGCATATTCAAGCCTGTCACCAGCAGATGTGGGCACTGTCACAATTCTGCTGTTCACTTGATTTTTCTTGGAAAGCAGGACCCATGGAGTAGCCCTGCAGCAGCAAGCATGTCCCACTATCCATCCTGGAGAAGGAAGCACAGGTGGATATACAGGACTCAGGAGCTGGCTGAAACAGAGGCAGGACCGCTCCAGGTGTAACACACACGTTTATTTAGATGGGTGTCAGGGTTTGCTCTCTCAGCACTGCTGCAGGTGATGCCAGCTGTGCACACACGGCACAGCTGCTGTATCTGCAGCATTCCATGGTGCAGCACAGACAGTCTCTATTCTCCTTAGGCTCAGCTTTTTCTGAGGATTACTTTAGTCTTTTAAAGCAATGTTGGAAGACTGAATTAGGCTACAGGCTGGATATATTCTGCCAGACATGAGACCTCACTGTAATGTTCACAGAAAATAAATAAATAGATGTGGCTGGGAATTCTTTTATAAATAAATGTATTTATTTATAAGTAAATAAAGGTTAAAGCTCTGCATGCTTTAATGTTTACTGAGAGAACAGCAGTGGGGCTTTTTTTGAACAACATTTGTTATATGGTTTGCATCTTTTCACAGTTGCAATCCAGTCCGGATTGGGTGTTTGAAATCAACATTCTGCCTTCCAGTATTTCAACTACTGGCCTTCTGTAGTTCCAAAAAGAAATCAGGTGCTTTCTTACAGAAACCTAATTTCTAGAATTCTGTATCCAAGAGAAAAACGCCTGAGCTAAAGCAATAAGGATCAGCCATGCACAGCTTTCTAAAAGCAAACAGCTGAATCTCCTACATTTTTGTCCGAGTCCTTCCTGAAGAAGAGCAATCTGTATTTTCCTGGTATTTCAGAAATGCATCACTCTGTCAGGAATTCTGCCTCTTCCCTTCAGAACCATTTTATCTTCGTAGACGTAGATAGTTCCGAAGGCGTTGCTGTCGGGCGGGGTCTCGATCACGCCCTCCAGGGTGAGGTGATGAACTCCGTGACAGTCCAGGCAGTAGGCGCCGTCGTGCAGGTGCCCTGCGAGGACGCACACCACGCTCTGGTGCGCGTGTATCACCGACAGGGCAGCCTCGTAATTCCAGGCCAGGCAAACCCCATTGGAAGCAGAGGGATGAAGGGGCACGTGAGCTGCAGTCCGGAGGGAAAGAAAAGAAGAGAGTTAAACTGTAACAAATCTGCCCCATTGCTGGCAAGTTCAGCCATGCAAATGAGTCCAGAAAGCTCGCCCCCAGAGTGAGGCATAGGTGCTGTTCTGCTCTTCCATGGGTTCCATCTGTACCTCACCAGACCAACTACATGTTTTCTGTAGCTAACAAATTTTTTGCCTGCATATTTCCATGGGAATATACACTCCCCATAAAATACTAGCTTTAAGAGCTCTTCCAACATAAACCATTCTGATTGTCTATTTATCCCCCTCCATATCCACCTACCCATAACTATAACTTTTTCTTGGTTTTCATCAGAGAACTTGAGGACTTCGTTGAACCAGTCCAGCTGGGCTTGGCTAAATCCTCCATTAAATGCTACAAAATGAGGTTCTTTGAGCCCTGCAATGAAGAAGAAGGTTAGGCACAAATGCATACACCTCCCATGGCTCCTCTGTTTGCCTTACGTAAATCTGCTTAGTTTATTCTCTGAACCTTTGGGGGTTTTCTTGCATTTCTTGTATCAAAACTCCAGCCGTCTTGCACAAAGAAGAAGATTATTTGTTGTTGGGAAGGACGAGAATTTAATGAAGGAGTTGTGCAGATATACAGAAGGTTCTATAGAAATAAAAACAAGTTTTGATATAGAAGAAAACAATTGCTGAGCCAGTCTTACTGGGTAACTAGAAGGCAAAGAGCAAGTGAGTTGGAAGGGTCTTTTATGGCTTAGAGGAAAGGATAAATCCACCTCAAACAAAAGATGGTTTTACCAAACAAAAGGATTTTCATAGGCAAATAAGAAATGTTGCAAGTAGAGAAAATATCTCAGAATTTTCCACTGCAACAAAACTGAAAAACAACTTCCAGCTTAAACTATAACATACTAATCTTTTGTGATTGGAAATAGTGACATGAATATGGTAATGTTAGTAGTTAGGATAGGCTATAGGTAATAGTAAAAGTATTGACTGGTTGTCATGTATTAAGATGCTCTGTAATGAAAAGTATATAATGCATTGTAACCAGAATTAGAATCGGGCTTCAGGACACACGGTTTGCCCATAGCCAGCAGCTATAGGCTCACCCACGACCCCCAACTGCTGTAACCTCATCTATGCAATAAACAACATTTTGAGAGCCGTCTGAAGCCTCCGTCTCTCCGTCAGGCTCTTACAGTTTGTTAGTGTTTTCGGGAGCTTTGGTCACACTACACAAACAGGGTTTCCACTGCTGAATGTCCCCATGGCATGGGACAGGGTGGGCACAACTCGGTGCTCTGTGACAGCCGCTTCCCAGCAGCTGCGTCGAGTTCCGACACTGCAGGGCACATAGCACAGCACAGCCCCAGCCCAGAGGCACCGCGGCAGCCCCGGGTGTGCGGGGAGCATCTTCTGTGCCCGCCTGCGGCCGCACCGACTACAGGGAGGCGGCGGAGATGGGAGCAATGGGGCACAGGCTTGAGCATCCCGCTGTCAGCACCGGGAGCTCCGGACAGCGAAGGTGCGGCCGCCCGCGCCCCGGCCAGGCCGGAGGTACCTTCGGGGCTGTTGAGGTCATCGTTGGGGTTCTTCTCCCGCAGCAGCCGCAGGGACTCCTGGTAGCGGAGGCTGCCGGGGTCCGTGCCCAGGGTGCTCGTGTCGTAGGCGTCGAGCACGACGAGGCGGAGGCGCGGGGCCGGGCTGCAGTGATAGGCGTGGCATTCCCTGTCCGCCGGCCCGGCCGAGCCCCCCGCGGCCCGGCTGTACAGCCCGGTCTGCACCAGCCGCGCCCGGCTGAAGTTGTAGAGCTCGTGGTTGCCCCACGCGTGGTGAACCGGCACAGAGAGCTGCCCCAGGACATCCAGCACCTGCTGCAAGGCGCTCTCGGCCTCGCCGCGCCGGGCGTTCTGCCCGTCGATGCTATCGCCCAGCTGGAGCACGAAGTCTATCGGCGGGCTCTCGCAGGCCCACGCCCGGACCGCCTCCTGCAGCAGGCGCAGGCTGTGCCGGTAATAGCGCCGCCGGTAGCCGCCGAAGTTGTAGCCGTCCTCCGCATCCGCGAACTGGATGTCAGCGATGACCCCGAAGGCGAGGCGCGGCGCAGTCTGCATGGCGGCCTCGGGCGGGCCGGAAGGGGCGGTGCGGCCAGCGCCAACATGGCGGGGGCGGCGGCGGGGCTGTGGCGGCTCCGGGCGGGCGCGCTGCGGGCCCGTGCGGGGCTGTGGCCGCTGCCGGGCCCGGCCGTGCGGGGCTGGGCGCTGCTGCCCGTGCCACGCAGCCGCTTGTTGTCGCAGCTGCCGCCGGGCCGCGGGCCGCGGGCGGGCGCCCAGAGGCGGGTGAGTGAGGGACGGAGGGAGCGCGGGCGGCGGGCCGGGCCGTGCCCTGAGCGGTCACCAAACAAACCCCTTGTCCCCGCAGCTCGTGTCGTGGAAGTCGCTGGCGGCCACCGTGGTGCTGGGGGGAGGGCTGCTGGCCGGCATGAAGGTGATGAAGCGGCACAAGGAGGAGGGTGAGTGCGGGGTGCGGGAGGAGCGCCGGGAGTGTCGCGTTTCGTGTTCGGACGAAGCGTTTTTCGTGTTCAAATGATGTAGGGTTTTGCAGTCAGATATATTTTACCTGCTTGGACACCGTCACTGTTTCGCAGCCTCGTGTGTTTACGGAAGTGCCGCAGAAAGTTTTCAAAAATGAAAAGCAATTCGAGGTTGAGCGTTTTAAAGTTCCTAGGTTGGAGCAGTTGTGTTTGGCCGCCCGCTGTGCCCGCCTGTGCAGCGCAGACACGGAGCTGGGCGCTCGCTGGGTTCCTGCCCTGCCGCCCGGGAGCTTTGCCCTCTCTGCAGGAGCTGCCCGCACGTTTCCTTTTCATCCATTTACTGTTGAAAACAGAGGTATTGCAGCTTTTAGGGTATGTTCAGTTTTCAACGCATGCTGGTTTCACAGCAGGCCAGATATTTGTCTTTACTTTTCCCTTTTTAAGCAAAAATGCAGGTGGGTAACAATGAAAGATAATAGCATATTTCAAGGGCATGTAGTGATATATTTGATTTTGTCCAAAAGGAGCGCTTTCTAGAAGGCATGTGCACGTTGGGTTTCTGTGTGACAGGCGTTGGTGGATCTTGACGTGCCCCTGAGCAGTGTCTGACTCGCTGCTCCCCGGGAAGCACTGTGCATTGTGACATGGGTGTGTTTAATTCCCACTTGTGTTTTGTAGAGCTGGAGAAGGAACGAAACCGAGGCATTGGGAAGCCGCTGCTGGGAGGGCCCTTCTCACTCATCAGTCATGAGGGACAGCCCAGGACCAGCAAGGACTACATTGGCCAGTGGGTGCTGATCTACTTTGGCTTCACTCACTGCCCTGACATCTGTCCTGATGAACTGGAGAAAATGGTTGCAGTGGTAGATGAAATTGGTATGGGAATTCAGTTGGTGTAAGGGTCTGTAAACAGGGCTTTTGAGAGGGTCAGTTTTATTCGGAAAAAATACCACAAATGGTGAAAACTGGTATTTTTTTTTTTTTAATGCTGCTGGCTATTATTCAGTAATTGAATTAATTGCTAAGGGGTACATAAATCAATCCCTAGGGTCATTAGGGTCTGATATGACAGCATTGATCTTTCCACAGCAGTGGAGGCAGGTTACAGGGAATACATTGCATTGTATTTTTGCCAAGAAGTGACTGTGAGGTATATTAGGATTTTTTTCCTTCTGTTTTGTTCATCTCTATGAGAGTCTCTCCTGAAGCAGAGTGGCTGTGCTGTGGAATGGAGGGAGGAGGAAGGCTCTGTGTTGGCTGTGTTTTCTTAGCCTGCAGGCCCTGAAGAATTACTGAGCAGGGTTAATAGTACCCCAGCATAGGGCAAATCAGACCAAAGTGAAGGCTTTGGCTGGAACATGAAGGAAAGAGCCTGGATTGTGTTTTCACGTTTTCTCCTGCTCCACCAACCCAGCGTGCCTTCCCTGTGTCAGCCAGTGTTCTAAAACATGCATCACACCACAGCATCTTCTGCAGCAGAGCCAATCTGTCATCCCTGCTGACATCCTGAGCAGGGCAGGGCCTCTGGCTGGGGGGCTGGAAGCTCCCAGCACAGACACAGAGCATTACATCTCATGGCATTTGCTTCCTTCACAAATTTACACAAAGCTGCACAAAATGGTCTTTTTTTAGTCACTAGGGGTGGGCTTGGATTGATGTTACATGCCTGTGAGCTTGTTTTAAGGAAGATGAGAGATGATACCTGATTTTCTAAAATAAATAATAATTGTTAATGTCACAGATCGAATTCCGTCTTTGCCTAATCTGACCCCACTCTTCATCACCATTGATCCTGAGAGGGACAGCCAAGAAGCCATTGCCAGATATGTTAAAGGTATTCCTGCTTTCTTCCTCCATGTCTCATAGCATGTAGTACAGAGCACTGAAAAGGAGTCTCTTGAAGGGATTCTTTTCACTTAAATGTGTAAATGTCTGCTTTCTCTCCAGAATTTTCTCCGAAGCTGGTGGGATTGACTGGTAGCAAGGCACAGATTGACCAAGTGGCTAAAGCATACCGTGTGTACTACAGTGAAGGGCCCAAGGATGAGGACAACGATTACATAGTAAGTAAAAGGAGCCTTTGTTCACTGAAAGACTGTGGATAAGAGCAGCATGTACATTTTAAAACCAGCTATTGGATCTTTACTGAAGCCCCGTGTGCAGCGATATGTTAAGCTGTCAGAACCACAATGCCCTCCTACAAGGTCAGAACCTTACCAAAATATGTTCTGAACAATCTCATAAATTCGGAGTAGCACAGGAACTAGCAAGCTTGGCAATAGTAGAATTTATTTCTGATCTGTTACATTTGACTGGCCTATGTGCTCCAAAGTCGCTGTGATTTCTCACTTCTAATGCAGCTGAACTCAGAGCACGGCTGTGTTTCAGTCCTGAGCAATCATGCTTCCAGCACCAGAACTCTGTGTCTTTCTGAGACATCTGAGAAAGATGTTGTCACGGTTAGGTGCTTAAATAGATTTGCAGTGGAATTAATTTTGATATAAATTCAATTAGAATATCTGGGATGTCATGGGTGAGGCTGCGTCAGTGCGCCGGCAGGGAGCGCCCCTGTCCCGCATGTCCATGTATCCCACTGCCTGTCCCGATCCCGATCCCCCATGTCCCTGTATCCCACTGCCTGTC